TATATTCTCTATTAACCGCCTGATTATTTTTCATTTGATTAAAACTCAAATGTTCCGCCAGTTTATCGATGTCTTCATCAGTAAAATTTTTATTTAAAAATTCCGATACTTTCTTAATAACGCTTTTAATGTCCCGAATCATATCCTCATACGTTATGATTAAAAGATTTGGTAGATGACTTTGTTTTAAATAACTTTTAACCACGTTAAAATAATCTCCGTATAAAACTTTTCCTTGTACGTAAATATCGATGAAGTTGCTTAAATTTTCATCGAATAACGGAATAACAAGATTATTATGATGATAATAAGACACGGAGACTTGTTTTGGATCTCTCATAACATGGATTATTTTTGGTTTTTTTAATCCATCGGTTATTTGTCTTGGTAAAAGATACCAAGGTAAATGACTTTTAATGAATCGTTTTCCTTCGGTTTCATTCAACTTTTTGATATTATCCGTTACGACAAATTCTTTAGAAAATTTTTCGGGATTACGTTTTTTGCCAAATTTCATCATTGCCTTAGTTAAAGAGTTAACTCTAAAAAATTTTTTCTCATTATTAAAAATAAACTAATTAATAATAAATTACTCAATAAATGGGAATCTTTGATCCACGCTGACTTTCGCACCTTCGTAATCTAAATCATTTCCGATTAACCAAACCATTTCTTGAGTCCAAGTTGTTCCTTAAATAATTAATGCTTACAAATATAGATTTATATTAAATGTAAAAAATTAATTTACCAGCTTTTGGATAAGATGTAACCCAAACATCGTCATCTTTCACTTCGAAATGTTCGATTTTTTCTTTCGTTAAGAAAAACTCATTCGGTAAAATACAACCATCGAAATCTTTCAAATCTTTCATTACTTCACCCATGTTATTTTAAAATTGCTTTAAAATCGAAATTTAGTAATTTTAACGAATCAACTCAAATATAACAAATTTAATGATTAAATGCTATCTTGTACTTCATCTGCTATTATCTAATAAATTAGAGATAAAACTGTTTCTACACGATAATTTATTACGTTCGAGCTTAATTTTAGATACTAATCCTCAATTTATTGATGTAAAACATTTTTATCGATTTTGTATCTTACTTTATTATTTTTTCCATTTTTACAATCAACTAAAGATAACATTTTAACAACTTTTTTTCTTCGTCTTCTTCACAATGATAAGGCTTGGCAATGGGATTTGGAAACTTGTCATTATTTGCCAGTCATTGGGTTTAAATTACCGATTATTATTCTAGTAGCTATTATTATTCACTACATTAAAAGACAATCAAACAATATTTTTGTATAACCTAAAAGTGTCAAAAAAGATACTAATTTAAAAATTCCTGGAAGCCGTATTTATTGAAATTAAGGAATGTGACTTATTCTAAAATAAAGCTTAAAGCTTTCTCTTTAAAATGATGTATAATAATTGATGGGTTGGATTGGAAAAATATTGAGAAAAAAATTATTGAAACAAAACTTACGTTTTCGTATAACCTAAAAGTGTCAAAAAACATGCTAATTTAAAAACTCCTGGAAGCCGTGTTTATTGAAATTAAGGAATGAAACTTATTCTAAATTAAAGCTCAAAGCTTTCTCTTTAAAATGATGTGTAATAATTGTTGGGTTGGATTGGAAAAATATTGAGAAAAAAAATGTTGAAACAAAACTTACATTTTCGTACAACCTAAAAGTGTTAAAAAAGA